CTCCCATGCGGTTCTGGTGAGCTAAGAAAATGTTTATCTCCCTGAGCTTGGCCTTCATAATTCCATTCCATCACAGTTTTATACGAGCTGTTTAGAGTTGCAAACATTCATAGAATCTTGACCCCAGCAAATAATGAAAATAGCTCTAATCATCCTGGTTGCATTTTAAAATGGAATCAGGAAAGTCAAGAGACAGAACGACTAGTTTCTTGGAGCACCTCTTACTGAGGATGTTTCCAGACAGTTGTCCGTGCTATCAGACGATTGTGAAGCTATCCCCACTTAATGGGTTTATCATGGGAAGAAAAAACAAATGAAAAAATTATGGGAGTGAGGCCAGAGCTATTGCAAAATTCTCCTGGAAAGTTTGTGAAACAATATTTTGCTTTACATAGGAAATCCCTAAGCGGCTGTTAACACTGAGGTTATGGAGGGAAAAGGATAAGAAGGATAGTATCAGTATAAAATCCAAGAGGAAATGGGACTGCCCAGCTGGGATTTTATTCAATCAGGGTTAGGATTACAAATAAGGCAGTGTTTACCAGCCTCTCTGTCTTCTTTGCTCACTTTCTCCCACAGGCCACCATGCGCTATAGCAGGATACAGAGCTATATATTGGCAGCTGGCTATCTTGCTTATCTCCTGGCGGGCGCTCTCATCTTCCAGGTTCTGGAGAAAGATGCCGAGAGAATACAACAAGGCATCACCTTTAGAATGAAGGAGGACTTTCTGAAGAACTTCACTTCCCTCAGCCCAGCAGAGGTTGAAGTCTTTGTGGAGGTAGGCCATTATTTCTGGGTTGGATTAAAAAAAAAAATAGTGTTTACGTTTAAAGCCCTAAAACGTTTTGGTCCTCCCAAACTTGATGGAACATCTTTCCCAGTATTAGCCTGTGGTGCTTTGAAGATCATCAGGGGAGGCTCTTTTATGAGTATATTTGGTATAGTATGAAACTTTGAAGAGAAGAAACCTTCTCAGTTATGGTTCTCAGCATATGGAACATGTATCCCATAGAGGTGCAACTGGCACTACATATTATTCTTTCTGGAGCCAAGTCAAAAGCTTCTTTTCTTTTCTTTTCTTTTCTTTTCTTTTCTTTTCTTTTCTTCTCAAGCTTTTTAAATGCGAAATTGATTTGTTAAGCTGAATGTATTAGATTTTTTTTTAAATAAAGACTATTATATTTTGAAATGGCTTTGTCATTTTAGTTCAATTATATTTGGTAGACTGTCCTGGGATCAGAAGATGTTGGTAGCAAAAACATTTAAAGAAATACATTTTATTTGATAATCAGTTGTAGTTATTCAAATATTCAAGCCAAATATCACCTTAATTGCAGAATCTGATGGAAGCTGTCAGGATGGGCATATATCCAGCAGGAAATGAATTCCCCGATGAACACAACAATTGGGATTTCAGTAACTCTTTCTTCTTCGTGGGTTCTATGTTATCCACAATAGGTAAACTGGTTATGCTTCTCCCTTAAAAGTAGATTCATTATAGTCAAGTGATCTTCATCAAAAACACCGTGTTACATATAGTTTCAATGGTTACTTTTATACTTCAGACTCCCAGACCTTATCTTCCTCTTTCTTATGAGATCAAACAAACTATAATTCATTTCCATGACAATTGTTAAAATAATGCGAAATGGGGCAGCGTGACTATGTGTAAGCAACAGAGAGATATAAAACCATGTACTGGAAATTATTTCAAGTACACTTGTTTTAATTCATATATGGAAACAGACTGTTGGTCCTATCAAAAGAGAAACACTTAAGAAGATAAAACATACATCTGTTGAAAGTGTCTGCTCATAAATATAATTTTTAAAAAATCCATTTGACCCCATTCCATTCAATAAGAAGTTCACAGGCGCATACATGAAGTTTTCTCATGTTATCCTCAAGCAATGTTGTGAAATAGACTGCTGTAGGAAACTAATTGCAAACCCCCATCCAATGAGAAAGGTCACTACAAATGCCTGTAATTAACTATTAGCTGAGGCCCAGCAACAATCCACATTTTCTGCACAGTTCAAGAAAATTTGTGCAAAATCACAGCCTTTATTCAGCATGTTGCACTGATCCTTCTGAATGGAATGTATTAAAACCACAAACACTTTCCTGTAGATGCATTTCTTCTTTACGCATCATCATGCATTTAGTATGTGAGAGAATATCATTATTTTATATTTTCCACATGGAAGTTATAATAACAATCTCCCACTTGCTAAATGCATGATAAATGCGAGGGCACCTGATAAGGAAGAAAGAATATATGTTGTGATCATCAGAACTTGCTCGAAGCTGTAGTGAGCAAGAAATAGGGCTCATGTGATTCTCCTGGGGAGGGTCAGCCTTCGGACTTGATGTATCCCAGGCTGCTTTAACTCTTGGCTAGCATATTTAGAAGAACAGATAAATAGGTTTTCTGATTATTTTGCATTGCTTGGCTAAATCTTCTTGGGATTTCAGCCTAAAACAACACTTTCTGTTCTTTAAACCATGTGGTACATGTTGCTCATTTCAGCTGCATGCTTAGAGTAGAGTAAATGTGAGTCAATGCAACTGAAGGATATTGTAATATGAGGACATTCTGATAAGAGAATATGAAAGAGTAAGAGCAGATCACCACTTCTTATAAAAATGTGTCTGAATTACCTAAGGCCACAAGCAGCTTTGGGTTTGGTCACCAGAGCTGCTCCCCAGCCCCCCAGTGCCCCCCCCCCACAGTTGCCATTGAATGGTCATTTTTTTCTACAACAGAAGAAGAAAATGATAAAACGCATGTGGAGAAGCTACAGAATTACATATAATATCTAGGTTTTGTCCTGGCCTCACCCACTTTTTAATCTTGGTCCTAAAAAAAGTTGCATATCTCTAGTAAAGAAATCCAGTTATGCTGTTATATATACCAAGGATGATTCAAGAAAATGAAGGCCTTATAGAACTCAAGGAGCTGGAGGGCAACATCTGGAAACTGCAAATTAATGACATCCTGAAGGGGAAAAAATTGCATTTTAAACTGTATCTTGCTTGCAATGGCAGGAAGGAAGTACTGGCCAGTAATAAATAATATACATCTTTAATTGGGGTTCCATCCTGTCATTTGCTCAGGATTAGGGCAAATCTTTTGTGGTAACATAGGCATAATGCTCACCAGTGTTTCCTCTGTAACTTTCATGTTTTCACAGGCTATGGAAACCTCTCTCCCAAAACGGCTGGTGGTCAGCTTTTCTGTGTCTTTTTTGCTCTCTTTGGAATTCCTCTGAACATCGTCTTTCTGCAGCACATTGGCAAGATGCTCTCAATGCTCTGTGAACGGTTAGCTAAATGTCTGTATAGGAAAGGGGTAAAGAAGGTAAAATAAAAAAGCTTTATTCTAAGTTTATTTATAAAATTGAATTCTTTACCAGCCCCAAAACTTAAGATGATAATTGAATGGAAGAACAGTCTGATCCATGCTTCAGTCAAGCTGAAATAACCAGTTTAAATCTGTTTTGCAGCTGCACATTACCAACAAAACGCATCTGTACTAAAGTTACAGTAATGTAGATATCAGGATATATTGAATAGCCATGTAATCTCATTAAATCTATACCTGGAAACAAAATATTTCTAGTCCATTAATCTGATTTGTGGGTAAGTTAACATACACAACCGGATGCCCTGAAACTGTAAATGTGACATTGTTCAATTAATCCAAGCCAAACCAGGCCACAATATCTTAAATTTTAAAAGAAATATGGTCCTGTTTTCCGTTACTGTAGTAACTTCAAATTACATCAAAAGATTCCAACATTAGAGAGGGTTTTAAGCCCAACTTCCACTTTAATATGATATATTCAGAGTTAATTATCTGTCAGAAATGCATCTCCTCTCAGCTTGAAGATCTCCAATATGCAGAATGGGATAAACCACCTGCCCTAACTGGCTGTATTGTCAAACCCCTCTTAAAATATTTATCCTAAACTTTGAACTCTAAGTCTGCCATTTATGCCACCAAAGAACACAACCCTATTCTTATTATTTGACAATTCTTTTTTTACTCTTTTCTCTTAGGACTATATGTTCTCTTCCCCAAAGCTATCTCAATTTCTCTCATTTATGTGTCATCAAGGCAGTGTTGACTCTTGGCGATTCCATAGGTCTACCTTATTCAGGATGGATCACTTCATATTATCTATCCACATAGTTTTCTTGGTGAAATTCAGGAGCAGTTTACCACTGTCTTCTGCCACACAGCTTGAAATGATGCCTTTGTGGTTGCCACTAAAGTGATCATCCACTTTCAGCATCTTCCTATATTACTGCTGTCTGATATAGGTGCCTGCTTAACTCAGCTGCAGAGCTGGGATGACCTTCACACCTTAGGTGATTCTGATGGGAGTATATACATTCCCAGTGTTCTTTGCTCATTCTTCCCAGGAACATGCGCCCCGGCCACAATGAGGCAGCACAGGACTTTAGGGGGCCAATTTCTCTACATCCTTCTTGAAGGACAGTGCTCAGATCAGTACACTAAATGCATTGTAACAATGTGCAATACAATGGAAGTGTAACATGTAATAATGCAGCCCATGAGTCACTGTATGAGATAGGTGGCCATATAAGGCCATATAAGTCCTGTGAATGAATGAATGAATGAATGAATGAATGAATGAATGAATGAATGAATGAATGAATGAATAAGGGCAGCTGTCTGTCCAAGAACACTGTAGGCAGCTGTTTTTTTCTTTGTTTTTCAGAAAACAGCAAGGGGATTGACACTTCTGTTCTTCCTGGTTATGGGAATACTAGTGTTTCTTTGTGTGCCATCAGTCATCATTCGAAAGATAGAGGGGTGGACTTACAATGAAGCAATTTATTTTACATTTATTACCCTTAGCACCATTGGATTTGGAGACTATATGATAGGTAAGTTTTCCAGTAACATTTTCAAAGCAATATTTCCTGCTTTGTTCTAACTTGATGGTTCCTACAGTACTTCAGGCCTTATGTTCTGATGCAGTTAAGAGACTAGATCGAGACATGACTTTTAGAATGGCTGTATGGGTGAAGAGAATCTATTTTGGAGGCTCAAGGTACATAGTTGCAACCAATGTGCCCACCAAATAATGCAAGGCTGGGTGGGGAACCTTTTTAGCCTGTGGGTCACATGGGTTGCTGAATAACATTGTAAGGACTGTTGCTGCGTATCTGAACATCACTGGATGCACTCCGTGCAGTCCTGAGTTCAGTGATCTGAAGCAACATCACTGAGAGAGAGAACAATCAGCTTCCATTTTTCATAATTTAACCCAGGGTTTTTCAAACTTGGCAACTTTTGGATGAGTGGACTTCAACTCCCAGAATTCCCCAGCCAGCATGATTTAACCCATGGGCTGAGTTCAGATAGCACACAAGGTATAACTATACTGTAGTGTCATGCATTAATCAAAACAAGTCTAGTATTCTTTATATCCCAATCTTCTCCCTTCTTCTCGGAAAGGTCCCCTTCCATTTGGTTTAAGCAAGAATTCCTTCCAATAGAGAAGACCCAGCTCTTCTGCTACTTGTGCCTCCCTGTCTTTGGAGCAGAATATGCCAATGTCAGTTCTCAGATGGATCCTTCTGAGTTTGAAGAGGAGTGATCGTAGGTTTTGCCTCGAATTTCAAATTCAGCCAGAGGCAGAACTTTTAACTGTTGTTTTATATATTTGTGTGAGTCTTTAGTTAAAATCCAGGAAACAATAACAAAGAAATAG